GTGTAAAGGTACTGTAATCAGTGTACCTTGGAAGGAAAGCGAAATATATCTAACAACACAATCTGGGGTAAATTTACCTTAAAATATAAATACCAAAAACTGCTATGAGATGGTACCCAGTAGCTAACTGCCCATAGCCAGAAGTTCAGTTTTACATTCCCTCAAAGCAATATTTCGAAGCACTTTTATACCACCCTGATGACATGCAAAGCTCTCGAGGTAAATGTGACAAGCGACTTAAGCTTCATGCTTTCACTCCTGTAATCAGGAGAAATACTGGAAGTTACACAACTGTTTCTAAAAGACGAGTAAGAAAGTTCAGAACCTCATCTGAAGTTTGGAGTAAGGCCTTTGTATTTATCACATTAGTGTTTCAGAAAGAGTTGGGGCAGGAAATAAGACTCCTCATCACTGGATGGCAAAACTCCATATAATCACAGGGAACAAATGAAAGGAAATGTGAGACAGAAAAGGAGAAAAAGGCAAGGAAGGAACAGATTGTCTACAACAGATAATGCTGACACTCTTTAAGAAGAGATGGCAGCAGTGATGTGATACAAGGCATCAGTTCCCAGAGATTTGGCAGATGCCAAAACATGGCTTTTACAGGAACCTGACACCAAGGCATATTCTCCCAAGGAAATAATAGATGAGAAGATATTTTCATGCCCTGCAATGACTGCTCTGAGAGCTGATGAGACAGAAAGCTGAGAAGTTTAGTATGAGGCAGAAAAGATTTCTGGCACTGCACAGCGAAGACCCTAACCCTACAGGTCCTTGAGGTCACACAGCAGCTATGCAAATTATCTACCAACACAAGGGACTGCTCAGTTCAGTCATGTTCATTATAAAAAAAAAATGTATTATTCATACCAAAAAGACCCTTCAAAACCACATAAATAGCAAACAACAGATTGCTTTTTCCTCTTTCCTCTAAATAAAAGCAGGGTACAACATGACTTTGCAGCTCTCAGTTCTTTCCTAAAGGAATTACTGTGATTATTCTAACTAAAATGAAAATATTCACTGCACTTGCACAAAAAAGCTCCTTCTGTCACAGGCATTCTCACTGTCAATGCTTAAAGTACCTTCCAGTGTCTTTTGCTGAGGAGATATGTAATGAGAAAGTACTTGATTTTACATGACTTTTATCAGAGTGCATAAGTTTAACTGGAAACACAAGTGCCTAACACAAATACAGTTTTATTCATTTTAAAGAGAGATCTATGTAATTCAAAAGCATACGTGCCTGTGTATCCACCCTACCTCATACATCTCAATGACTCAGCACTTAGCCACAAAACCAGCTGTCATTATTTTAAACCACAACATAATGGGCTATGGCCATTACCAATAAAACGTTTCCAAATAAAGTATGTTGGACAAATCATCTGTATGCAACAGGCTTCACAGGCCTCAAGACAACAGGAAACATTCGTGCATTTGTGTTTTCTGCAGCCACCTTTCTTTTTAAGCACACAAACCCCAAAATTCTGATCAACTCAAAAACCAGTGACATTTCATTCTCAGTTACTGGAATCTCCACATGACAAAACTCAGTCTAATACAGAGAAGCTCATCCAGACATTAAGTGCAAGAAAGGAAAGCGATCCTGGGTCAGCTCCTACAGAACTGAAACACCCTGAAGACAGGATCATTTGCTTACACACACAGTAAGGAGGGAGCTAGGAATATCTTGGGATATAGGAGGCCCCGTATCAAAGAGCTGATGGTCTGATGACAAGCAATCTCTATTCCTCAGCAGGCAATGCTCACTGCTTTTCAACCCATGTCTAATACGCAGGGAATACATGAGCCCATCCACATTTTCATAATGCCCCTGCCACCACCGAAAAGTACATTTTTTGAAGGTGGAAATCTACGAAGCAGACCCTGAGGAATGCAGGTGGCAACAAACACCATATATAGGGAGCTTCTGCAATGAATGCCTCACAGAAAGATTAACTTCAGAAAGGCTGGAACCCTGCAAGAGCAAGTCGGACCAGTCCTCTGAGATGCTCTCACTTTTACTATTTGGTATCTGACAGGTTTATTGCTTTTGCTGCTGACGAGTGGTTCTTGGAGGATACAGCTTGCTCTGGCACGTTGGTTACATGCAGATATTCTTCCATCCACCCGCCATTAAACTGTGGCACCTCTATGCAAAGAAGTTGCTTGGCTTGTTCAGAATAAGACACCGCATTTGCCTGCCACTTCATTTTTCATGATTGTCTGCTTTCTCACGCAAACCAACACTCCTGCTTATAATGGGCTACATTTGCATCTCTGCATGTAAAACAAAATGAAAAATAAAAGTTATCTTGCATCAAATCACACCTTGCCAATTAAACAGAACTCTCCATTAGACTGAACATTGCTGGCAGGTGGAACGAGTCTGTGTCAGAGAAAGCAAAGCACCACATATTGTGCATTAAAAGGATTCACTTAACTGGGGGGGGTTTCTTTGTCTGCCTGTGTAAACCAAAAACTTTTAGGGGACAAGCATTCACAGAGTCATTTGTTGTTGTTGCTAAAGATCTTGTACTGCATTTTCAACCTGAAACCCAAGTGACTGTCACCAAAAGGTATTGAGATCAAAGAAGTATCAGGATACTAAAATATATTGTAGTCATTTCTTAAGAGTAAATTTCACAACTCTTGCTAAAACAGTTTCTTTATAGGACCATTTTCTAAGCCACAGGAGTTTGACTTCAAGCAGCTCAAAAAGATGGATTTACCCTCCAAAACCAAAGTCATGTTCTCGTCAGACAGAACTGATGTAACACACTCAAAGATGGTATCATGTTATATATCACAGTCTTCTTGCCACCTGCTACAAGGTGTGTCTAACCTACGTAAAGGAACTTTTGCAAGACAAAGATTGCATTCGACGGTTCTCAATTATTCTTTCAGAGGCTGACGTTCAGAAGGCAGCCTTGGTTTTAGGCATGGACTGGATGGGAACCGAGCTGAGGGTTGATTCCCTCTCATGACTGAGAGACCTAACAAAGCATGTTTTTATCAAAGTGTATTGGTAGAGTATACATGTTTATGTTCATTGTGACTGTTTGTCCAAAGAGGAAGGAAAAATGAGGGTGAAGCTGTTCTATGACCTTTATACTTGGCTGCATGAGGGCCAATGCTCCTGGTGTGGACAACAGCAAGATCATAAGAAATTGCACAGCCCCATGAGTAAACAGTTACAGATATGGCAAGAAGCCGATTGTTCTTCTAAGGGTATAAAGGCAGGACCCTCTTGTGGCCAAATCCAGAGCCTCACCTATGGGTGGATGCACCATGGAGGAACTTTCCCAGCTGAGACTCCCAGCATTGGCTGCAACAGGGCTTCCCAGCTTGAAGTGTGGGCCTGGATGATGCTTCAGTGGTATTTGGTGATGTGTTTCTTCTCAATCTCTGTTCTCTCTATGCTGTAACGATCTGATGCATTGCTAACTTTCCTTTATACTTTACTCTCAGTATGTATCTCTCCGAGTTGCTTCCTTGTACTTATTTACTGTATATATAGAGATACATACCAAATTTGCATTAGTGTGCTTGTTTAATAAACTGTGCATACAATACAGCTAGTGTGTGGTCATTTTGTGGCATACCCTGCCTGTCAGCAGAACAAGGCAGAAGCATTTAGTGCATATATGTGTTAAATCAAACACTAAAAGCAGCTGCCTCAGTCAGCTTTGGAACCTCAGAGGAAACAATCAAGGACTACCACAGAGCAAAGCCATGGGATGTATCAGAAGAACTGGCCAAACCTGTACAGCTGCAATGATTTGTAGTTCTCACAAGCTGAAGAAAAATGTACAGACTGCACCAGCTCAGCAGAAGCAAGGGAAGGCTTTGTTTTAAATACAACATCCATCTACTCTGACCATTTTTTACAGAACAGTGAGGCTGTCATTCCACAAGGAGAAAAGGAATTCTAAAAGAGAACAGCAACAAAGAACCTAGTTCATGATGACCTACATAATTCATAGTCAAAGACTGCTCCCAAAGTTGCCCATTGAACGCAAGGAGGTTAGTTTCCTTTATAAGAAAAGCAACGAGAAGAAAAGAGTGAAATGCAAAGTAAATCAGAGTAATCACAGTGCTGTATATTTTCATGGGAATGCATTTTTAGCCAGAGGTACCTGAAGCAGTTAAAAGTAGTAAGACTGCTTCTGACTAACAGATGTTAGTTATCAGTTCTCAGAATCACTGAAGGAGCTGCTGCAGTTTAGGGTTCCTTTAAACATGCATCTCGATGCACTGCAAGTCAGTTGTGGAAGTGCCAAGAGCTGTAGGGTAATAAAACAGCACTGGTGCTACAGCAGTGACAATTTCAAGAATACATTTGGAGATTCTAGCCCAAAAGGAATTCTCAACAAAGAACACACATGAAAACAAACATGGATGCACAAATAAGATGCAGAGAAGGATAGGAATATACAAACTGTATTAGGACTGCTGTAAACCACTGACATCTAGAGATAGGCAAGAAAAATGCAGAATAAACTCTAGGACAAAACTTTCATATGCAATAATTCCTAATTCATGCTTCACAATTCGTATCTAATTCGCTTCATTTTTTCTCCTTTGGATTTTCCCTTTTGTGCTGCTTGTGATGCACAAGGACCATAAACAGTTTAGACAGATTAACACAGCAATGGCAGACATCATGTCATGTGTTCGGATCATGTTTGACTGAAGCACCTTAGATGATAATGTACATTTCCCATTCCCTAACCTTTGATTCTGTATGATATATTCATGTTCGGCCACTGCTCTCCTCACGGTTCAGATCTCTAAGGCTAGTCAGTGCCATGCAATTGGATCTAACAGCTGGTATTCTGTCTGACAGCCAGTTAGTGAATGAAGCAGCCCACAATTTAGTAAGCTAGTGTAAATCAGTCTTAATGGCAATCCCCTCCATGGGCCATCTCCATGCTGCTTGGATATAATCACAGATCCCAGGAAAGACATAATTAGATTGTGCAGCTTCTTACCTGCAGCTCCTTTGAGACTCTCTCTAAGTGGTTAGTTATCTTTTTTATTAGGTCACTATACATCTGTTCCGAATGCTGCTGGCATACACACTTATACACACAACTGCAGAAACAAATATAGGAACAAACAATGAACTTACAACAGTTTGCAATGAAGGGTAACAGACTTCAAAATATTTTGTTCAAGTCCCAATTTAGAGGATAATAAAGTTAACTGAAGGAATGGTGAACAACCCTCAGCTTGGAACGAGCTCCAGCAGACTCTTAAGTCTGACCTGGAGGCCCCAGTGCGTCCACCCCATTCCCTCTCCCCGACCTCACTTTAACTTACAGTGAGATCTCTTAACAGTGCACTTCAAAACAGACAGGATAATTCTATCAACAGCAGACTCCTAATTCTGGCTTTTGTCTCTCCTATGTGAATGAAGTCTCCATTAAAATAAGCAGGTTTAATGATTATATGCATATCTTAGGGTGAAACCCTTATTAAAAGAAGGGCAACACTGACAAACAGTCAATGAATGCACCAAAACCGTGCTAGTGGTTTAAAAACAAAAAGTTCTAAAATTACAGACCCAAGCATGTTACTCTATCCTTTGATACTTAAATTCTAAGAAAACCCCACATTTTCATAATAAACAAAGATGTACACAGAGCAACAAAACTTGAATTCTACATTCCAGCTTGGCTGGGTTAACTCCACTCTTCAGTGTCACCTTTGTTTTTTAAGGACATTTTATTGCTTTCATACTTCAATATGACATCTACAAAATAAGGCTATGTATTGAAAGCATATTTACAGCAGCTGTAAAACAAATGCATATATTGCTTTTGGCAAGAAGTTACATTAAGGTAGTCATCATCATCATCATCAGGGCTAACACCATCATCATCTATCTATACTAAGCAGCTTTTACTTCTCTTGAGTGATTTCATTCTTTGAAGTCAGCATTCTGGAAGCTAGCTGCCAAAATTCAAGAGGCACAAGGAAGACTTGACCTGGTGTCTTAGGCAAAGCGAATCACCTCCCCATGCCTCTGTCCTGTTCCCCTCTCCCTTCATCCCTTTGTATGGAGTAGAGTGACAGTGAGCAATTTAAACCAGAGACTGCTCCTCAAGACATGCACAAAGTATTGACGGCAAGGTCCAGATCCCAGACTTGAATTCTGCAGGTTCTGAACAGCACTAAAAGCATAAAGCTGTGGTACAGCCACACTGTGTCTCTGTAGGGGAATAATAACATTCCAATTCTCTACCAAGAATGACAATGACAAACAAAGTGTAAGGATGGGATTAAAACAACTATAGGCTGTTGGAGTTTTCCCATGCAAGTGAGAGATTAGGCACCAAGTCCAAGCCTTCAGGGGCCAAGAAAGCACTCTCATTCATAAGTGCCACTCTCAAAAGTCTTCCAAAGGAAGGTTTTAACAAGTGAATTATCAGTAACTCTTAGAAATGTGTATTTATTCCCTCTGACAACTTCAAAAGGCCCCCAAAACACAGCAAAGTCTGCTTATTTGGCAAACCATGCTATTTCTTAAAGAACAAAAGACACCTCCCACCTCTCCTACTAGTATACATTAAAAATAATTGAATAGCTATAGTTTGATGTTACTTAAATAACGAAGTTGTCCTGCTTCTTTCAGATGAAGTCTACCAACAGCAGATCCTAGTTTGGAACAAGCAAGTACAAGACATTTGGATATGATGTAGTAACAGCAAAAATATCAATTTCATCTGGATCAAAGAGAGACACTGATAAGAAAAGCCAGACTGATTTTCTGTGATAACTTACAAACCAGACAGCTAAGTAACAACAGCAAATGGCTGTATGTTTGCTGCATAAGTGACCAGTATATATATATATAGCCACTTCCACAATTGACTGTATGTCTGCTTAGTGTTACATACACTACTGCTATATCTACTTCTGCAATGCATTCTGTAGTCAAGCATCAGTCTTCATATGAGCGTGCAGAATGTGTTTACATTTTACTTGAACACTTCTATTTAGAGGTTCCTTCCCCATTTTAAGATCCTGTTTTCAGTTCCTGATCGTGGGCTGATTCCGTGAATCATCCTTGCCCTCCTATTGCCCAAAAGAAGTCACCAGCTTGTGACATTAAAAGGTAAATATTTAAAGAGAGGGATGAAGATCTGAGATCTGCAAGTTGTCTTGAAGAACACAGATCTAACTGCATTGTACCTGGGAGGTAGTAACTGTTGCCAGAACTACAACTTAGCTGTTTACATCTTCCTCACCTCAAAGTTTCCTTCCCATCTCTCTGTCAATATATTTACCCCTTCTAATAGGAAGTGACTGCACAGGCAAGCTTTGGACTTAAAGATAAAAGCAGTCACTAATCACACTTTGCTACCTTAGGGGTAAACTGATCCATAGTAAATATCTGCATACACACCTTTGAAGTTATCACTTAGCTTTACACTGCTGTGGAGTACATACCTACAGTCATCACTGATTATAGCAAATACAGTAGTTTGGGTATCTAATAATGTATTTTGAGTCTGCATTGATTCCTTTAGCCAGTACAAGAATGATCAGAAAAAGCACTGTATTTTCAGCTCAGTATCACTGTAAAAAAAATATGAGAGATGTAACTGTTTGAATCACTTCAGAAACACCCCATTTTCCAGACTAAATAACTAGCCTAGGGAAACAGAGAGGATCAAAACACCGAGTGTGCAACAGACTCTCTATAATACTCCAAGCAAGCACTCTCATTAAATTCAATAAAAATCAGTTTTCCTTCTCTTTGCAATCTATCTTGTCTAGATTGTCAGTCAAGCAAAGGAAATGTCTAAAAATAATGAAAAAACCAAAATAATCAATCTCCTGATTGGAAGAGGCTGTGTCAGGGTAATTACAACCACAGACGTCATTTGTAATAGAAAACTGACACAGTAGCTTTATCAATAACACTAAAATGCAGAATATCTTTTGGTTTGGTAAATTACATGCAACAGACATCTGTGCATCATTACAATACTGCATCAAGTGTTACCCTGATGTAAAAGGGTTATCTAGGAGAAACGGAAAACCCACTATTCCTTCAACACATAAAACTTCTGAGGAGCAAAAAGGTGAGAAAGATGAACTCCAGTTATCTTAAACCATAACCGGGTACAGATCTACTCCAGGTATTAAAACCATTAATTCTGTACACCTACTCTATCAGAGATGACTGTCAAGATGGCTTATTTCTAACTGATGACTGTTTGCACATTGGGGATTTTAAGACAGGGAAAGGATTTCGATTACTTACACTAAAGCTGCAAAATGTCTCTCAAATCAAATGACCATCTCAATTATTTATACACATAAATGCCTGAGTCCTGATAACAGCAGTTCCAAAAGTTTGGAGAGGAAAGAGGAAGTTTTAAACTGGAATTAAGATGGAAGACTGAATACCTGCCATTCTTACATCTAGTTCCCTAATCCAAAGTTTCAACCTGGAGAGCCAAAGTGGCTAAGAGCAAGGGGGCAGGAAATGACAGAGCTGAAAGCCTCTAAACCCAGCAATCAGCGACTGAGCTGCTGTTATTTCATAGAGTGTAACACTGGATTAAAGAAAATCAAAGACAGCTATCAGTCCTGCTGCTGGCAAGGGCCAGTAATTTTAAGGGCATCTTGGCCAGTAAATGCAGCAGTAGCTACCCAGTTCACACTCTATTTACCAACACGCCAGATACCAGTCACCTACAGAACAAAAACCTCTATTTTAGTCCATCTCAAATAAACACCAAGTCTCTAAAGCATCTAGCAGCTTCGTTTGGAGCAGTAGTGTGGTTTTGAAGCAAATCTCCTACCATCCCCATTACTTGCACATTAGCTTAGTCTGCAGGCCAGCTCTAGTGTGTGACTAGATCCTTTTTAAAGCAAACTGCAGCTCCAGGCCAGGTACAACTCAAACAGGCTCCAAACAAGAATTGAGATATAAAGGACTGAATCTTGTGTCAGTCCTTCAGACAGCCTCCCACTGCACATGCAGCCAGATGGCTGGGCAAGGAAAAAATGAGACTAAAGCTACCTGGTGCAACACATACAGATGACAGTTAAGGTGGATGGGCCTTGATACCAGTAGCTTCTATTTACCTCTGGTACACCAAATCAGTTATCATTAAACATGGCAAAGAAGCCTGTTGAAACATGAAGCCAAACCCCTACTATGCCAGTCTCTTCTTCCCCTTTGAGGAACGGGATGTTGAGACTTTAATATATTACACTAAGCAACTGTGGTGGAGACTGATATTAATGTTTTTAGCACTTATGCACTGTAATTGTTTAGCATTTATTCCTATTAACATTGGATGTTGAGGTATGCATCTTTTATTCACTCATTCCAACCATTTATATGATGTGCTTCACAAAACCTTTCAACTTCCCTCCTCATAAATACAAATATGACATATGTGCAGGCTGCAAAATAAACCAAACACTTAATCTTAAATTAAAGAGCAACAAAGCACTTAGATTTCCTTACCTGTATATTTGTTCATAGGAGATAGGGATGTAGTCACCAGGACTCTGAGTTAGAAGCTGATCTATGGCACTGTCCAACTTTGGCCAATATGTGCTCTTATAGTCTTCAATTGTTATAACATTCATTACTACAAGAAAAAGACAAAATTACATTTAGTAACTCCAGCTAAAAGCAGCAAGTAAATGCTCTGCAATTTCAGATCATACCAATAAGTTGGCCAGATAAACTGGGAACCACTGACTTCCACTAAGATAACCTCATCTAAAACTAAAGCCCCAACTTGAAGCTGTATGTTTTTATTTAGAGAGAATGAAGTAAAATTAGACAATCTGCCAATTCAGTGCTTGGCTATTTCTTAAGGGCTCAAACAGCAGGGAAAAAGAAACTCCTTGGGAGCTCAAGCATGACAAATATAGTAGTACAGAAAACCAGCTCAGTAGTTAGTTCAAACTAATAAACTCTGCAACTTTGTAGGAGTCCAGAATCAACAATTAGCACTGGATCCTCACATGCAAGAGAACAAACTTGGGCCAAGTCTGGCAGTTTTTGGAATACTCCTTCCCAGCAGATGTATGCATTTTACAAGTCTCAGGTGGGACCAGCAGCTTCCTTCGCCTAAAAGCTGATGCAATTTCCTCTGCCTTCAATTGCAGTTAGGCTCCTGGGCAAATTTTTTGGATCTGTATTGCAGTTCTCCCTCTGGCAGGCACAATTACACCCCTTTTTCGGATCAGAATCAACACAGTGAAGAATAGGAGGCATTCAAATTAGCATCCCCATCCCTCCCCGATTCTCCTCCTCAGCTTCTCAACTGCACCCTCTTGCCAAGCCACCCCATGTGCCTTCACAGTCAGGGAAGAGTTTCAACCTGTTTCTTTTGGGGGAGGATTTCTGAACTAACCACACACAGCTCAGTTCCAAAGGCAGCCATGGTAGAAGGGTTAACACCTTCCCTGCAGAGACTACCTGCAGGACTATCTTGCTGGCTTGAGACAGCACCATAGCTTCACACCACCCACCCAAAGCAGAGCCCTCCATAACTAAGAGCACAGGGTAACCTTCATATCAGAGCTATCAGAGCTATCCAAGCCAGGGAACCTGAAGTCATTTCTTCACTGGAACTCCACACATGGGTTTGGGCTACATGGAACAGAGAATAAAGACAGTTCCTATCCCAAACAATCCAGTTTAGACACCACACTGAAAAATATTTTAACAGATTTGCATTTAAAATACATGTGTAGATGTAGAATCACTGCACAGTTTGAGGAGCAAGATTTCTGAGCTTTTGTTTTCACAAGGGGCTGAAAGGAGCTGAGTGAGTCACTTTTAGTGGCATTATGAAGAACAATTCTACAGAAATACAGGCAAAAGTATGAGAAAAAGAAGAATATAAAAAAAAAGTGGAATAAAGATAGGTATGAGACAAGGAATTGTACGAATGCTACCTGTAAGAACAGGTATTACATATTCCTGGTGTGGCTTTTTAGGGTATTTCATCCAGAAACCTTGCTTAGTGAAGAATGTTAGGGCAGCACTCCTAGTCCCCTCTTCACCCAACTAGCCACTGGTTCACTCTTGCTTCACACCCGTTCCAGAAACAGCTCTAGTTAACCTAAGTGTCTGAGCAGTGAACTGGTTTCCACTACCAAGTCCTGCAGGATTCTGTCCCAGCACTCCAGCCTGCAATTTGAAAGTGCAGTCCCATTTCTTAACAACCTGACAAAGGTTACAGGTGTGTGTACACAACCACCAGGACGTAAGTTAACATGTGCAGCAAGTCAGCTCCACAATGTAAAAGCATCCATGCGGGCAGAACAGCACAGCACCTGCCTGACAGTGAATTCACTCCTTATTCATCTATTTCACAATGCCTTGCTTGAGTTCTTGTCCTTTACAGAGCTCAGGCTCCAAGCAGCTTCACATAAGGCTATAGCTTTACTATTCACGCCTAGACTCAGCAGCAAATCTGAAACGGTGGGTTTCCACAGAAGTGCTCTGTTTCACAGAAAACATTGAAGTCAGCATACACATTAGACCAAGTCTTGGTTTAAGATTTTAATGTATAATCACACCCACATCTGGCTTAACATATGAAATGAGCTCTATTCATTTGAAAGAAAGTAGTCAAGTAAGAATTGAGAACAGGCAAAACAATTTTTAACAGGCTGTTGAGACAGCAATGTGGTTTTTTACAGTATGGAAAACAAAAGCAGCAGCAGAAAGGAACGTCTGCCCATTTCAAGTGCTGCGCAGGTACAGAACAAAATGCTTTCACAAACAGCCCCAGGAGACTTGAATAGGAACCACTGATGAGTTCAAAGTAATATTCTAGAAAAGCTTTATTTTTATTCTGAAGGCTCTCACAAGCAGCATTTCCACACTTCAGTTATGAAACTAAGCCAACCATAATATTTATACAGTTAAGCATCCAAGGCTATATACTGAACAATCACTATCTGGCTCTGGGCAATCCCAAGGACAAACACAGGCTGCGGAAGAACGTACTGAGAGCAGCCCTGAGGAGAAGGAACTGTGGGTGTTGGCTGACGAGAAGCTCACCATGATCTGTCAGTGCATGCTTGCAGCCCAGAACTCCCCCGTGTGCTGGGCTGCACTCCCAGAGCGTGAGCAGCAGTCGAGGGAGGGGATCCTGCCCCTCTGCTGCACTTTGGGGAGACCCCCCCTTGCAGTCCTGACCCAGCTCTGGGGCAGCAGCACAAGAGAGATGTGGAGCTGTTGGAGTGAGGCCAGAGGAGGCCATGGAGATGCTGTGAGGGCTGGAGCAGCTCTGCTCTGGAGCCAGGCTGAGAGAGCTGGGCTGGGGCAGCCTGGAGAAGAGAAGGCTCCTGAAGGGGAGACCTGAGAGCAGCTCCAGTGCCTAAAGGGGCTGCAGAAAAGCTGGAGAGGGGCTTGGGACAAGGGCCTGTAGGGACAGGCCAAGGGGAATGGCTTGAACCTGCCCGAGGGGAGACTGAGCTGAGCTCTTAGGCAGAAGCTCTTCCCTGTGAGGGTGCTGAGGCGCTGGCACAGGGTGCCCAGAGAAGCTGTGGCTGCCCCATCCCTGGCAGTGTTCAAGGCCAGGTTGGACACAGGGGCTTGGAGCAAGCTGCTCTAGTGGAAGGGGTCTCTGCCCGTGGCAGGGGTTGGAGCAGGATGAGCTTTAAGGTCACTTCCAGCACAAACCAGTCTGGGTTTCTATGATCCACAGATGCATCAGGCAATGAAAAATTAGGAAGCAGGACCACTCAGCAGGACAGTCTCACGTACTTAGTCAGCACTTTTGTGCTTACACACACAAAGTGAAGGATGACTTAAAGCAGAGCCTCCAATTGCAAGCACTGCAAGAACCTCAAGAGTAGGAAGAAATCACACAAATCCTCACAAAGAAAAGACAGATTGCCCTTCTAGGAACTGACTTGATTTTCTACTTTTCTATCTTTTTAGGATGTCATTCTTCAATGCTTATCCCTTCATTAGGTATTCAAGACTTGGAAGGATTGGTCCAATAGCTTCTTTCCAGATCTCAAGGAAAGGGTGATATTAAAGGGTGACTTTCATGTCATTGAGATTTAACATGTTTCTGGGAAGTGACACAGACATTTTGCAACAAAGCATGCTAGAATGCATGATTTTATCCAACTACAGCAAGTTTGGGGTGGGGCTGGGAGAGAAATCAATCTGAGCCAAGGGAAAGCCACTGTTTTCCAGGAAATTATAACAGACTTCACAAGTGAAGCTTGAGAAGCAACTGCTGCTTCTCCATATACAGGGAAGTTCAAAAGAAAAACTGCTTAAATCAAATGCAGCAGTGAAAACATTTAAGTGAAAAAGAATATGCATGAGCTTCATATCATAACCTAGATATTTCAGTATCATAGCTATAATGGAAACACAGCCCGCTGTAAGCTACCAAATTCTTTGATATCAACTTCAACCAGGAGAACAGCAAAACCCACTTACATCTTATAAAAAACAACACCAGAAGGTCCAAGAATAGGTATAGAGCCCCCTTGAAATTAATGAGGAAAAAGCTTACAAACATACACAGATGCTGGAACAGCAATAGGCACAGGACACAAATAAAACCAAAAATCACTTGATACTGTTGGTTTTGTTATTTAGATGAGAAAGCTGTCTGAAAACCCACTCAAACCCCCTACTTACACACAAAATACATCTTCCTTTTAAAACCAGGATTTTAACAGGTTTCCACCTAACCTTCTGCCTCCAAGACTCTGCCAGCTAAATCAGACTAAAAAAGGCCCACCAGATGCTTTAGTCTGCAACTGTGAACATGAACAAAACTAACATGCTGCAGGTAACTACATGCTGGAACACAAGCATTGTTGGAGTAAAGAATCAGGCTGAGAGGCGTATCTGAATATCAGAGGGGCTCCAACTCACCGTAAGACTGCTGGAAATCACACACCACCCCCATTTTTGAAGGTCACCTGTAGGATAACTTAAGACTAAGCCTCTGCATCCTGAAGCAAGGAAGACACAAGTACTTGCTCATTTAACTGCAAGACGTTCGTCATGCAGCAGAGGACAGACAACTTCCCTACAAAGCTCAAGACTGACAATCAGCTTCTCTATGCATGTTCTGTCATTGCCAAGACAGAGCAGGCAGAAGGGATCTCGAACACGCCTGTCTCCATTTTCACTGTATAGTTACAACAAAAGTAATCTTCCTCCTTTTTTCTATTCTTAAAAAAATAAGGAGAGCAGATTAAGGGATGCTCTGTCAGAGGCAGGATTAGAAGAGTCAGGATGCCCCATTCCTGGCAGTGTTCAAGGCCAGGTTGGACGGGGCTTGAAGCAACCTGCTCTAGTGGAAGGTGTCCTTGTCCATGGCAAGGGGCTGGAACTGGGTAAGCTTAAAGGACCCTTCCAACCCAAACCAGTCTGGGATTCTATGCTGATCCCAACTCAGCTCCTGTACATTCTCAGACCAGACTACTTCACTGGACTTGTTCTGTTCATATACATATTCTATCAAAACTATCCATAACACAAGGGTGTAAAAGTTCTAATGGACTTCACTCAGTTTTCCATTTTATGAGAATTTTAATTTCCTTTAAAACAACACTTAACCTCAGTAAGACAGATATTGTGTTGGGATATGAATGATGGAGAAGTGAAAACAAGAACTCAAACCCCACACCCTAAGCAAAGTCACACACAGCCACTTCTGCTCCAACATAAAACTGCAGATCAACTGGAAAGTCACCTTCCCATTTGGCGACGATCCAGCTTGAAAACATTCTTACCCTGAAAGAGAAGGAAAAACTAAGACTCTCAGTTTCTGGATTGGGAATTCAAGAGCTTAGTTCAGCAAGGCCAAACCATTTCAACTGTCTCAATTGTTTATGAGCCACCCCAAGGTACCTGGAGCCCTGACAACACAGGCAGAGAGCCAGAGAGCTCATGGAGTCTGGGAGCCTCCACTTCAAAGTAGTCAGCCTTGGCAACGTGGCTAGAGCCAGGAAATCCAAGCTACCAGAGAAGCAGGGACCCAGAGGCCTGAACTTTGAGCTTCTGATCAAGCAATGAAGCTGAGCTGCTGGACAGACGAGCTGGCACTTGGGAAAGAGGGGTGAAACAAGGTGAAAAGGAAAACAAGGTGTTTCCCATCCAAATTTCATCATGGCAGTTACACGGTTACACTTCCAGGAATACTGTGAACTAACCAAATCCAAGTTTCCAACAGCCATTAGAGGAAAGGGCATATTTTGCCCAGAGGGGTGACTTCTGGAAATGAAAGTCAAATTGAAATAGACAGCAAAAAAGCTTCTCTTCCCTCAACCTCAGCAAAACAACAGGGGGGAAAAAAGCCATTTTTATGAAAAGCTACATACAAAAGATGCTTTGGAACTATTTCTTAGGGAGGTAAATTCATCTCCAAGCTGCTCACACAAGGCTTTTGCAGACATAGGTACCCTCCACAGGCCAGCACACCCCCATCCTGGGGCTCTGCACACATTGCCATCTGCTGTCAGCAACCACAAACAGGTTCCAAACCCACCTTTGGGGTTTTTCAGGTGGAAAAAAAAGTCCTTAGGAAAACAGGACACGAACCAAGAGCTTCAGGAAAAGCAAGCGTGCCTCTGTAAAGGTGAACACCTGCCTACACTCGCTCTCCCAGTTCTACCGCCAGCCCTACCACGTCACCTGGCCATGACAGCAAAGAACTTGGGGTGTGTGTGCGAGAAAGGTTATTTTCTCCTTCCAAGGCGCCTCAACCCATCCGATTTCACTTCGAGAAGCCTCTGGGGCCAAGACCCACGCCAGGACCCGCCGCAGGACAGACCTGAGCAGAGCCACATGCGCGGTAGAAGGGAGCAGGGGCCAGCGGGGCCAGCGCAGGCCGGGAGCGGGCGAAGCGCACGGAGCCGCCCGGGCCGAGGCCCCACCGTGCGCCCCAGAGCACCGGGGAGATGGGCAGGGCGGTCACTCACGGAACTTGGAGGTCGAGGCGTTGATGTTGATGGCAGCGGCGATGGCTCCGGCTTCCCCCTTGCATGAGGCGCCCTCCGGCTCGCAACCCTGCAGCATGCCGTTGGCCTCAGAGAGCTCGGTCCCGGCCGGGGTCCCGGCAGCGGCCTCGCGTAGGAAGCGGTTACCGACCTGCCCTGCGGCGGAGCCCAGCAGGTGCCGCCCGTAGCCGCCGGCGCCCCAGTTGTTGTGGTTCTGGTCGTCCATCATGGGCTCTCCGCCGCCGCCACCCTCCTCCTCCATGCTCTCCTCCTCCATGGCGCTACCGGCGCGGCGGGAGCGGGGCGGGGAAGGGCGGGGATCACCGCCTGCCGCCCATGGGGCCGCGCTCCGCCCGGTGGGGCTCACCGCGGCACGGCTCCGGGCACGGCCCGCGGCCCACACAGCAACCTCCGGCGGCGCTGTGCGACACTTTGCGGCAAACGGAACACGGCAGGAGGAGAGCGAGGTCTCGCCGCGGGCGATGCTGGGGAGTGTAGTCCGGAGGTGGTGAGCCCCGATTGGCTGGAGCGCGGGAGGAGGCGGTGCCGCGCGCGGTGCATTGTGGAAAGGCTCGGAGGAGCCGTGGGGCTGAGGTAGTGGGAGCTCCCTGGAGTACGAACGGGGATGGGACTAGGAATGGGACTGGGATGGGGCTCCTCTTTCTAGGTTCTACCAAACCCCATGATTATACTTAACTGCAAACGGGGTGCTCCGGCAGCTTCCGCCTTTGCGTTCCCTTTGGCGGTACGGGGACCGCCCCTGTATTTGCTGCAGGCCCTGGGCTGCATCCCCCTCTAGCGGGGAGCGCTGCACGGGCTGCGGGCGGTGAAAGAGCCGGTGCCACGGCAAAAACCGCGTTAGAAAAACACCTAAACACGGGCCTGGATGTTCCACCAGCCTTCCTGGTCTTGCTCTGTCATCTCTTACTGTGCGGGTGCTGAGGCACAGGGTGCCCAGAGAAGCTGTGGCTGCCCCATCCCTGGCAGTGTTCAAGGCCAGGTTGGACACAGCTGCTTAGACCAACCTGCTCTAGTGAAAGGTGATCCTGCCCGTGGCAGGGATTGGAACTGAATGAGCTTTAAGTAATTTCCAACCCAAACCAATCTAAGAGTCTGTGATCTGTAAAGTGCCTGCACAATGCTGCTGTTTGCTCCCTTTTGTTAGCAGAGAAAAAGCCTGCACAAACAATACAGAAAGTCATTTAACTTGTCAGTGAACAATGTAACAGTTGCAAGCAATAGTACTGTCTAGTTGCCTTCAAGTACTTCGTGTTTACTTTCATTTGCAATTGGCTATTGTGATGGAAGAACAGAAATGAGGATTTTACTGAAATTGCCACTGTTTGGGGTTTTGCTCTTCTTGCCAAACACCCCGAAAATGCAGATAAAAACAGAGGTGCCGAGCCTGCTTTCCAAAGCATCTCATGGAAAGCAAGAAACATGCCATTTGTTTTCCAGATATAAGCATCAGTTTCTATTTTAGCATGAGGCAAAGTTGTCCTATGTTATAAAAGCAGAAGGCAACACTGGTCTCACTGCACTGTGGAACAGCTCGACCATGAGGTGCTTTGATAAAAGCGAGCTGTGGAGAGAATTTGTCCCTATTGTGGTTTTCTCTTAGATATTTGTACTAACATTGGTTTTCCCAGCTGCAAAAAGATCACACTGTGAACACCCATGGTCTGTTCAAACTGATAGCCAGCCCTCTTCATTTTCTCTGTTGGTGAACACCAGGAGAGACCAAAAGCTGGCACATCATGCATAGACCTGAGATCGTGGACTCAGCCCATTCACACACCTGCTTTGGCTGCTGATTTATTTCTGTCTACACCTTAAGCATGGCTGGGAATGGGACAGAAAGGACCTTTTTGCTCACTTGTGCTGCATCTCTGCATTGACTGAATATACAATATAATACAATGCAAATATCCGTAGAGACATAATGGATATTAAACATGGAAAGCTAAAGCAGCAAACCACTTTTAGCTTAGGGAAGTGTTGCAATTTTCTGGTAATCACAAAGAAAGCTAAATGCGTATCTTCATAAGTGTACCTTCACTACTTCAAGAAAGGCATGTTTGTGTTCTCAACCTGCAGAGCAACTCCCTCATACCCTCCTACTCAGCCACTTCCACTGATCCCAGGAATGGGTCTTGTGTTCTTTGCCAGTATTTAAAAACACTATGACCTGAGGAGAAATCAGGAACTTACCCTTATCAGCAGAGCTTTCTCTTGGTCTTATTGATTTAGAAAATGCTTATGTTAACGTCTGAGAGCAGTGGAGAAGGAAGACAAACCCAGTATTTTTCAGTGCTAGGATTTCCCAGTCTCTGTTTCATACTCTTGCTTCACACACCTATTCTTGTTGCCATCTCTGTAGCTTACAGACCAGCTGGAGTTTTGTTTGGGGTTGGTTTTTTTTACCCTGATCTTTAAAGGGTTTCTTTCCAATCACTTATACAATGGTCCTTGCACTGTGGCTGCACTTACTGCACTTCCTTGTGGCAGGAATCCAGAAAAGCTTAGGAAATACTTCACTGTGGAGTTCTCTACAGAGCCTCCTCTGTTGCCTTGTGCAACAAGCTAGCTCATCTTACAAATCAAACAAGAAGCTCTTTCTTGACTCCCATAAGGCAAATGACAAGCAGCAACAGTCATCTATGGCTCATGCTATTTGAACACATGACTGCATGCTGATAAAGGCGCTATCAAATGCCTCATCATTAAAGCAGCACTTGTTTTTGCATGCACTTCAGAGTCTTCCCCGCACCGTTTCCTTTTTTCCTCGTCAGCATGTGAAAATTTGATTCAGGCTTCAAACACCATCTTGACAAAATCCCATTTTGCAATACCACAGCTGTAATTAGTTTCAATATTAGTTGAGAATACCACATACAAATGCAATTCTGACAAGACCTGAGTATCCACACGTCTCCATAAAATCCCTGGAGACGAGAGACTTCTTTACTGTGACCAGCTCATCAGTAAGCTCTCATACGTTCACCAAGATAGAATGCATATGTCACATTTTCATTGCAGACTCCTGCATCCATATCTGATAACCAAACAAGTATTAGGAGCGTTCATTGCTCATTACATCTTCATAATATTTACCCTTTCTTTTGGCTCAGCACTTTTGATAACCAGGTCACAGCCACAAGCTTTGCTCCAAATTAAAAGGGAAGATCAAGGCTTTCTAATAGTACCCACGGAAACTGTGAACCAACAAAGAAGTATTTTCTACACAGAAATGGGGCAACAAAGGAACTTTTCCTTCCAGGCTCTCCAAAGCAGGCTGTGTCACTTGCTTCTGCTGGATGTTTTCCTCTTGTCTTAAGCTTCATTTTATATCAACATTTGTATCAATCAGAAAAGGGGTATTTTCTTTTTCCTCAGCTGTTTGTGTTTCTAAAGCAGAATGATTGGGTACTCCACCACCGCTGTTGCTGTGCTCTGTGCCACAGCTGGGTGTTATGTACGGAGCAGTTAAATGATAGATGAGACCTGTTGGGAAAAGACGTGCATAATATGTTATGGTTTATTTCCTGCTATTGGTAATAAACATTATGACATGAATACAATTCTTCTTATTTTAAAACAGACCATTTTTCCTTATTTCCCAAGTGCCCGGTCTACTGAAGTCAATAGGAAAGCTTCCATTGATTTCAATGGGATTTTAATCAAGCCCTAACACAGCATGTAAAAAGCGTCCCAGATTTATAGCTCTGGTTCTAAAAGCCAAATGAAAACAGAAATAATTCTGACAAGAAAGAAATATGAATGCTAAGCAGAGCCTTAAACAGCAGTCTGTCAGGAGGAGCAGGAAACATCGCTCTTTCAATGGCAAATAAGACAGCCCCTTGCAGAATAGTGCTGGGGAGCAGATAAACTGAAAGGGAGGTTCAAGTACTTGTTATTTTTGAGACATGTTTTGACAGTCTCTGAGAGATGGCTTGCTTGAGCTCAGGGAGCCAATAGCCCCTCTGCCATCTGGCAATCTGTGGCATACCCCATATTCCTTCCAACAGCAGCTATCGCTTAGGGCAAGAGGATTAGTGTCAAGTTTTCATGAAAATGTGCCAGTTATGTTATGGAGAGACCACCCTTAGTGTTTCTCCACTATGTCTGTGAACACAGGCTCTGTACACGCTGTCTTATTATATTACGATCTCTTAGTTGGTCTCTCCATGGAAAGCAAAAACCACAAAACCCAGTTTATGTGCTAAGTCCTTGGTTACTAGAGGCTGTTGACACGTTTTGTCAGCAGTATGGATTTCTGACTTCAGAAGAAGGAAGCACAGCACAAGCAGAAATCAGCTGCCTGAAGAGGAGCAGTCCCTGCCAACTTCCTTCTCAGGGTGGTGAGACACAGGGTGCCCAGAGAAGCTGTGGAATTCAAGGGTGCCCCCCTTGAATATCTCCAATGTGGGAGACTCCACAACCCCCTGGGCAACCTGTTCCAGTGCTGTCACTCTCACAGTAAAGAAGTTTTTCCTGATGTTCACATGGAACCTCCTATGCTCCAGTTTACATCCATTGCCCCTTTTCCTAGCACTGGACATCACTGAAAAAAACCTAGCTCCATCATCCTGACACCCACCCATTACATATTTGTAACCATTGATGAGTTCACCCCTCAGTCTCCTCCAAACTAAAGAGACCCAGCTCCCTCAGCCTCTCCTCATAAGGGAGGTGTTCCACTCCCTTAATCATCTTTGTGGCTCTGTGCTGGACTCTTTCAAGCAGTTCCCTGTCCTTCTTGAACTGAGGGGCCCAGAACTGGACACAGTATTCCAGATGCGGCCTCACCAAGGCAGAATAGAGGGGGAGGAGAACCTCTCTTGGCCTACTAACCACACCCCTTCTAATGCACCCTAGGATGCCATTGGCCTTCTTGGCCACAAATGCACATTGCTGGCTTATGGTCATCCTCCTATCCACCAGGACCCCCCACTGACATTTTCCAACTTCCCTAATAGTGGTCATGTTCCCTGCACCATCTGTGCCTTGAGTGCACTAATTGGCCATAATTAACATGACCAACCTCACCCAGGCCCCCCACCTGTAAACCTTTTGTCCAGGAGCTCCACTGAAGCGCAGAGCTTGAGGTTCACCCCTTGCCTCTGCTATGTTGTGTATGTCCTGTTACCTCTCTCCACCAGGTCCTTGCGTGTTACCTCTCCTTCATCAGTGATTAAACAGGATTATTTCAAGGTCCGTGTCACTCAGTTCCTGGCTGTGGGGATAACTCAGTATTTGCCCATGGGAACAGGCAGAATAGACACTCCTGCACAGCCGTGTTCCCTGGGTCAGAGCCTCAGCTGAACTGGACACACTATGTCTGTCAGGCACATAAAGCATTGCCCTAACCCGAGACCTGGCGTTAGCAGGACGGGTGGCGTGTATCATTTTACAGCATGTATATTTT